TTTACTCTTTTTTTCTTCTATTTTTTTTTCCTTTTTTTTTTTTTTTAGACGAAGAACTACATAAATGCATTGTAAAATATAGGATATAATTCATTGTAAATAGGGTCGACGACCCTATGGGTATTCGCGTCGATAAACCAAAACCGATTTAATGAACGGGTCGTGGCCGAGCATCAAACCGCGTCAGTCTGCTTTTCTCTTGCTATCTGGCTAGAGATATACGTAGGTATTAAGCCACGTGCAAAATAATGCATCGTCGTGGTGATGTCCGCAGCTGTAGCTGCTGCCTGTGCAGCCTGGACACGTATGTAGCTATGAGTTCGAAGCTATTCCATCCTGTCATCCTCTCTCTCTCTCTCTCTCTCTCTCTCTGTGTGTCTCTGTCACTGTCTCTCTTTCTCTCTCTCTCTTTCACTTTTTCTCTATCTTTCTCTCTCTCTTTTGCCCTCTCGAGTTCACTCCTACATAGGTGGACGTTTACACGCACAGTCGATAGTTTCTCGACGTTCTCTCTTTCTCTCTTTCTCTCTTTCTCTCTCTCTTTCTCTCTCTTTTTCTCTCTCTACTTTAGGGTTATATTTAGGTGAACTCTGGTATTATCCAACGAACGTAGAAACGGACGTACAGACAACGAACGTCGCGGAGAGTGCTTTTACCATCTTGTCCGTTAGATCCGACGACGGTAGCCTGCAACGACGACGACGACGACGACGACGACGACGACGACAACGACGACAATGAAGAAGATAGCCTGCGGCACTCGTTCGATAGATCGATAACAAGTCTCCAATGATGCTCTTAAAATCGAACGAATCTCCGACACTCCATGTTTTAACTATCCATTCGATATACACAGCTCTCGATCCAACAAATGATCACGATAATCCATTAATCTAATTAACAGAGAATAGAGAGAGAGAGAGAAAGAGAGAAAGAGAGAGAGAGAGAGAAAAAGAGAAATTACAAGGTGTGTACTTTTTTTTATTACGTATTGTACTCGTCCTTCCAATTTCTTTTCTTTTTTATTATGATTATTATTATTACTATTATTATTATTATTACTATTACTATTACTATTACTACTACTACTTTATTTTTTATTTCGTTCCTTTATTTTTTATCACACGCGCGGTTTTTGTGGTTTACTGATCGCGAGACTATTTCTTTACGAAATCGCATGTTCCTTTATTACCGTTTACTTCCCCTCTGCTATTGTTGTTTTGTTTTTTTATGAGTATAAATGTTGTTTTATTTTTATTTCTTATTTTTACGTACATTTGGGTCGATCTATATGCGCGTAAGCATAGAGTTTTAAGATATATGCAATGATTGTATAATTATATTGATAATGATTGTATCACGTAAATATTTACAAATGTTATAATTCAGGTAATACATACATAAAGATTTTTATTATTAATCGTGCTCGCTTTCCGATATTTTCTTGTGATATTTAATATTATTATTATTATTTTCATCATTATTATTATTGTTTTGTACGTGTTTTCTTTTGGTTGCCAAGGGTGGCCCAGTCCCTTAAGGTATTATTATTATTATTATTATGTTGTTTGTCCTTTAGATTCCGAAAGATAATACGCATCAAACAGGTATCCTTCTTTTATTATTATTATTATTATTATTATTATTATTATTATTATTATTATTATTATTATTATTATTACTATTATTATTATTACTATTATTATTATTTTGTTAATCTTATAAGTTTGTTTTCTCTTCGTCATGGCCTTAGATTCTCCTTCAGTGGAATTGTATCGATCGTATTTTCTTACTACCATTCTCGTTGGACAGTCTCGCTCTACTGTTACTACATAGAATCCGTGGTGTCCGTCTCGATAAATCGATATGTTCATCCCGTACGAGCTAAGAGCATCAAAGGGAAAGAATATTTCCCACTCCTATTTCGAGATCCAATCGATTATCCAACGAACTACGCAAGTAAGTATGTACGTAATAGTTGCCAAAATTTTATGGCCTCTACAAATTTTACCATCTGTTTACGCTATATGTATATATATATATATATATATATATATATATATATATTTTTTTTTTTTTTAATTTAATAGAAAAATAATAACTTTTCCAAGAAATACTTATTGGTTTTATATGTTGAATATTTCGTTTAGGACAAATTATAAAATGTTATTTTTATCAATAAAAAAAAAAAAAAAAAAAAAAAAAAAATGTATAATAATAGATTTATCAAATAAAATAAGAGTTTTAGAGATAACAATATTTTTTTTTTTATTAATAAAACGACATATAAGAATATTGATCTAATTATTTTTTTTTTTTTTTTTTTTATAATAATTACAATACGCACATCTACTTAAAATAAATGTAAAATATATTCTAAAACGTATATAAATACAGAAAAATATAAAATAAAATATGAATATTATCAATCATAAATTTGTCAAAGAAATTAGACCGGCCAATTGTATTTGATTCATTAAAAAAATTTCTACGCAGAAATATAATATAAATCATGAATATTATCAACTGCATAAATCAATCAAAGAAATGATTTTAATTGTATCTGATATCAATTAAAAAAAAAATTTGTAGATATAATTATAGAACAAAATATGATTATTATCGATTACATAAATTAATCAAAGAAAGTGATATCAATCGCATCTGATTCTTTAAAAAGAAAAAGAAAAAGAGAAAAAAGACAAATAAAACAAAATTCTATAAACCAATAACTATGTATATATATATATATATATATATATATACACCATCATAGATTTATCGTTATTTACATTACATTTATGTAATTTACATTACAACAAATTATATGAGCAAACAAGAAGAAAAAATTTAATGAGGTACAATTTACTAGTCGACGTTCGCGCACGTTCGGTCATGTTAATTTTTTTTTTTTGTTATTTCGTTGTTGTTTCTTTTTTTTTTGTATTATCTAATTCGTACATTGCGTTATAAAAAGAGAACAACACAGGATGGCCGTCAACGCAAAAAGTCGCTCGTGATTCTCGGCAAATGGCCTATTCGCGTGACCGCCAAAAGCACGAGGGAGAAGCGAGAGAGGAGAAAGCTTTCGGGGGAGAAGGGTAGAGGGGAGATATAGACAAATATATATATATATATATATATATATACACATATATACATATGCAATATACAATACCTTTGGTTCGATGGAATCTCATAAAATTCCAACATCAAAGCTCTATTAACTCCTCTAGCTTGTCAAAAATATTGGTGCGTTTGTCGATTAATGGATAGATGGTTCCTAACGCTCGGCGATTTTTTCGATCCCGACGGTAAACTTTTTAACGCGTCAGAAATCATCGTTCAAAACCTCTGGTTGCGTCAAGGTCACATGATTGCATTGCTGCGACGTGCCACGCCAACACGTTAACCATTCATTTCTGAGCCCTTTCGAAGTGCTACTCACCGAAAGTGTTAATTAACAAATAGCAATATTGCATAGACAATTTCAATATTTATCTCATCTATAATATCATTACTATTTTTCACAATATTTAATGTTAAATACTATATTATATATATATATATATATATATATATATATATATACATCGATGTCGACGTTATAGACTACGTCTAAATAAAATAAAACAATTCGAATGAGAGAAATATTAAAAGAGAAAAGAATCAAATTTAAAAAAAAAAAAAAAAGAAAAAAGAAATTAAAAAAATAAAAGAAAAAAAAAGAAGAAGAAGAAGAAGAAAATAGAAAATAGGAAATGAAAAAGTACAGATTATTTGAATTGTTCATTACGTCGATATAATTTAATCAATTGATTCGACTTAACGAGTTAGTTCTTTAAATATTGTCGAATGTATGTAGAAACGAACACTTGTTCACTCATATATAAATGTCGTTTGGATTTATTTGAAAGACGAAACGACGTATGTACGTATACGTACGTACGTACCTACGTGCGTACTTACTTACTTACATACTTACTTACTTACTTACTTACTTACTTACTTACTTACTTACTTACTTACTTACTTAGTTAGTTAGTTAGTCAGTTACGAGAAGGAAATTTTTACTGTTCCGCTCTGACCCGCTACCGAGATACAACGGCGGCCATTTTGTTGGCGGCAGAGCACGATATGACGTCACGTGGCCTACATGATAACCCCCGCCTCTGGCACCGCTAGCGAACAACGAACGACGATAGCACTTCGCGGTTCTTCCTTCTTGCTTCTTGCGAAAGAAGCCTACGACGAAACTTTGCGAACGTTTATGAAACGTTGTAAATACGTAAGTCGATTTAACGCGCGAAGAAAAACTCGAGGAACGTAATAAATTTTTCTTTTCTTTTTTTTTCCTTCTTCTTCTCTCTCTCTCTCTCTCTCTTTCTCTCTCTCTCTCTATCTCTCTGTCACTCTCTCTCTCTCTCTCTCTCCCTCTCTCTCTCTCTCTCTCTCTCACTCTCTCACTCACTCATTCTCTTACCGCAAATATTACCGTTGTCAATTTGATGTTTATCGTAGGAAAATTTCAAAAGGGGGAAAAAATTTGACGATATCGACTTTATTGTTATAATTTATTGTTATGTTGTTTGTTATTAATATTATATTTAATTAAAATAAATAATCAAATTTTCGTCATATCTATTGCGTCATGAGCATTAACGTTCGAGAGTTTCGGTTATTATTGGCAGGAAATTTTTAATGAGAAAAAATTTCCTTCGACATTATTTACACATATGTATATATATATATATATATATATATATATATATATATATATATGTATTGTACGTATGATATTTATTGTTTATTATAATTTATAATTTTGATATATTAAGCGATAAATAATAATCGAACTTTCGTTCGTATCTATTGCATCAAGCGATCGGCATCGTACTCAATGAAAATGATTGTTAGTATTATTATGATTGTATTGATATTAAATTCCAAGTTTTCTTTTTCTTTACTTTACTCTTGTTTTCTTTTCTTTTCTTTTCTTTTCTTTTCTTTTTGTCACATATACACGAATACGCACATCCACACGCACACGCATACGCATATTAAATTTACATAATTAATATCTATCTTTTTATTTTAGATAAAATTTGATTAACTTCCCGGAGGAAAGAGGAACGTCATGTACAGTTCATATCATTTAAAAAGTTAATAAAATCCGCCGTTCTGAAAGTTTGAAAGCTACTTTCGTATGAAAAATATTCGTTAATTTAGCGAAAAATATTAACGTCAATTAAATAATTCGGATGTTCGGTGCACAAAAACAAAAAAAAAAAAGAAGAAAGGAAAAACAGAAAGTAAAAAAGAAAGAAGAAAAAAATAGTGAAGAAATAGAAAGAGAGAGAGAGAGAGAGAGAGAGAGAGAAAATAAAAAAATAAATTTAAAAAAAAAAAAAGAAAAGAAAGGAAAAGTATTGTTCGATATATCAATATGAAATTCGATTCGATTAGATTAATTTTAAAAGCTTTGACATCGTTTTACGATCGAGGACGAATCACTATCGTCGAGATTATCGATAGGCACGGCTAACGATAACGAAGACTAGAAACGACGTAGTACGATGATTCGTCGAGTAGAATACTAAACTTTCCATGCATACTTACTGTACGTACGTATAACATCGTCTTAACGATACAAGAAGATACACATTTTATATACAATTTTAATTCCAACTGATATGTCTTTATCGTTAATTTCATAGTTTCTTTCCAATAGAAAAAAAAAAAAAATATATATATATATATACATATATATATTACTCTCTCTCTCTCTCTCTCTCTCTCTCTCTCTCTCTCTCTCTTCCTCTATCTTTTTATTTTTTTTTTTATTTTTTATAACGAAAATTGTAAATACATAATATTCCAAAGACAAATTCCATAACGTCGAATAATATAATTTTTTCAAATTTATTTTAATTTCATTATTCGTACTGTTCGTAGACCAAAACGTATTAATACACAACTAAGGCACACTGTATTAACATATAATAAAAGTACGTTCTCGTACTACCTACGAATTTTGTTCTCTCTCTCTTTTTTTTCTTTTTTTTTTTTTTTTTTTTTTTTTTTTTAATTATTTTTCTATCCACATGAAAATGAATAAAACCGCAAGATAAATGTATTATCTATTAACGATAGGAAGACACAGTCCTACAATACCAACGATCTATCTCTTATCAATGATAACGGTTTCTATGCATTTCGCAGCTATCCGAATAATTCTAAAGTTAATAAAACTGAATTCAGTTTTAGAGATAAGTTATTTAACGCGATTAAATATCTCTTTGTCTTTGATAGATGGAACTTTTGTTACGCGACAATAAGTCATTATACAAAATATTGCATGTGAGAGATTTTGCGTAATATCTGACGAGCATTGGGACGATGTGCAAAAAAAAATTTGTTGCTTTTGAGAAAATTAAAAAAGAAAAGACGAATAAATAAAGGGAATAAAATTAGGAATTTTTTGTTCAAATTGTCCTAAACTTTTTCCTGATATGATATAATGTTTGTTACGTGATGTTTCATTTTATTTCATTTTCTTTTTTCTGTACAAGAAAAAAAACAATTCGCGATAAATTTTTCTTTCGCACTTTAAGAATTGAAGTTTAAGCGTCATAACAAGAAAACAAAAAAAACAAAAAGAACAAAAAAAAAAGAAAAACAAAAATAATAATAATAATAATAATAATAATAATAATAATAATAATAATAATAATAATAATAATAATAATAATAATAATAATAATAATAATAATAATAATAATAATAATAATAATAATAAACCTAAAAGAAAGTCACCAGGATTTTTTCTTTTTTAAATTACCCTCGTACATTCGAATTATGCTTATATAGAAAAAAAAAAAAAAAAAAAAAAAAAAGAAAAAAACGAAAAAGAGAAAATAAAAAGAAAAAAAAAAAAGAAAAAAAGAAAAAAAAAATAAAAAATAAATAAATAAACAAATAAAAAGAAAAAAAGCAAAGAAATAAACCTTGGATCGTATAATTTCTTTATTTTTCCACGTACAATTATTATCCACAATTCCATAAAGTCAGATCGTTAGGGCCGTTCGTTCCACTCGAGCGGTGCCCGCAGCACCGCGCACACAAGGAGGGTGCGTCACCGATCTGCCGGCCTTCGCGGAGGTGACTAAACTCTTTCCAGCTCGCGAAGAAATTATCGCCGATTCGCAAAGACCGGTAGTTCTATCTTCTCTTAGAGGAACTTCATTTGAATCGGTCGAATAATTTCTAAGTTCGTCATTTTTTAATGAAATTATATTCTGACCAATTTCTTTCCTTTCTCTCTCTCTCTCTCTCTCTCTCTCTCTCTCTCTCTTTATTTTGAAAAAGAAAAAAAAAGAAAAGTAAAAATAACTTGATAAAAATACTCATGATTAAATGAATCCATCGATCGAACTAATTGTAGTTCGATTACATTTTAAAGATTTTCGTAAAAGAAGAAAACGAAAAAAGAAAAGAAAAAAAAAAAGAAAAAAGAAAAAAGAAAAAAGAACACAGTTTATCGATCCCTTAGTTAAATTGAATTAACTTCGTAATAAAATGTTTTCAAAACGAACGAATAAAAAAATTCGCGTGAACGCGTATAAAGATTTTTCTTTTTCTTTTTTTTTCTTTATGTTTTCTTCTTTTTTTTTTTTTTTTTGAAATAAAAGTCCTACGTACAAACATATCCGTATGATTAACAAGACCCTTATTGTCGATATATTAACGAATAACATTGTAACAAATCACAAAGCAGAAGTTTGAACGAAACGTCTGATTCTTTTTCGAGTTAACACGATTATAAAAAATAATGTTTTCGTTATAACTAACGAATGAAAAAACATTTCTAATTTTGAATAGTTATCGATCGGTCTTGTTTAATGAGAGGACTTTAATGATTAAATACTGGTATAAGTGTACAGGTGCTGTTCGAGGAATAAGTGGGTTTGTGAATGTAAAAGTATATAAATAAAAGAATATAAATAAGATATAAGCGAATGCACGATGAGGAAGAAAAATAAGAAGAGGATGATTAAGAAGAAGAAGAAGAAGAAGAAGAAGAAGAAGAAGAAGAAGAAGAAGAAGAAGAGGAAGAAGAAGAAGAAAAGGAAGGTTACGACGGAGCTGAGCTCGCGAGAGAATCGAGAGCGCTGCGCAGAAACCGCGGCGGCGTGACGCGGCGCGGCGTGTCGGCGTCGGTGGCAGTAGCGGCGTCATCGTGGCCTCATCGACCTAACCTACTTTGTTGAGGGACGCCTGCACGAAGAGACGACGACGACGACGACGACGACGACGACGACGATGACGACGACGACGAATAACGAACGACGAACGACGAACGACGAACGACGAACGACGAACGACGAACGACGAACGACGAACGGCGACGACGACGACGATGACGACGAGGACGACGACGACGACGACGACGACGAGAACGACGAAGACGACGAAGACGATGATGAAGACGACGACGGTGGCGCCGTCCCTCGAGGACGTTCAACGGCGACGCCAGTAAACTCATCTAAACGATTGCCGTTCACCAATGTCCTCGTTGAACTGCCTCCAATTATTTCTCTCTCTCTCTCTCTCTCTCTTTCTCTCTCTCTCTCTCTCTCTCTCTCTTTGTGTTTCTCTCTGCTCTCTCGTTTTTTTTCTTTTTCATTTTTCTCTTTTTTATTTATCTTTTGCTTATACTAACACTTTTCATTCTATTCGATTTTTTTTTTCAATCTGAAATATCAGTGTTACTAATGTAAATCCCATGCAGATATATGTAGGCAGACATATAGGTATTTGAAAAAGTATCCGCCATTTTTGTTCTCTATTAATACGTTACGCAATCTTCAGCAGTACCAGGGTGGATCTATAACGTAGCGTGGGTGCCTTGCCAAGAACGAAAAAACGATCTTATGTTAGAACGACGTCATGCGATTTTGATACGAGATTTTTTCGTACACACACATACACATGCACACATACACACACACACACACACATACATATATTTATATATATATGTAGTCGTTCAATACGACGTTGTTATAACATTAAAAGGAAACGAAAGTATATAGGATATGATATCAATTATATTGTTGGGTTATTGGTCAACCATCAATCCTTTTGACTTTTCAATACATTATATCTAAATAAAAGAAGAAAGTAAAAATAAATAACATTGATATAATAATTATATTACAGTATTAGACTAATCTATCCGAAGATTTTTATTATTTCATATATATATATATATATATATATATATATATATATATATATAAAAGAAAAAAAAACTAATATATAACAACAATATAGTATAGCATTAGATTGCCCAATAATAACAAAAATTTTTTTCTATTTTTATATCTAATTGAACAACACTGATGTATAACAAAAATATGGTACGGTATATCGGGTTGCCGAACAATAATAAAAATATTCAATATTTTCAATATAAATAAATAATTCTAAGTTATATATATATATATATATATATATATATATATATATATATATATATATTTCTATAGATAAAATTTTTTTTCAGAATACCTTATCAACCGAACGTATACACACACACGTATATAATATTCCATTATATATACGCTTATATACCATACTTATACATACATACATACACACATGCATACATACATACATACATGCATACATACATACATACATATATATATTGGAAATAAAAGTTATAGAAACCGTTTGGAAAATGAGAAGATACTAAATGCACGGCAGGGTGCTATGAAAAAAGTCAAATGTAACATCGATAGGACGATGTTTGCGGTTAGTCCTGTCCGAGTCTTTCCTTCCGCGACATTAAGTATAGCGAAGTAGCAGAGTCCGATTGGAAAATGCGCCGCGAGCCTGGCGCGACTTCTCCCTTCCCCATCCCCCAACCCTCCTTCTCTTACCTCCTCCTCCCTATCTCTCTCTCCCTCCCTCTCTCTCTCTCTCTCTCTCTTTCTCTCTCTATCTATCTATCTCCATCTCTATCTATTTCTCTCTATTCTGACTGGTGCTTGAGTCATAGAATGAATCACATTCTCTCTGTTCTCCGTTCTCCGTTCTACATACGGCAAACGAGCCAAAGAGTTTCTCGATTCCCGTTGCAATACTTCGAAACATAGATTCGCTCGAAACAGAATATAGAAAAAGAAAAAGAAAAAGAAGGAGAGGTAGAAAAAGAGAAAGAAGAGGAAAAAAAACGACAAAGACATAACAAAAATATCTATGATAATTAGGAAACGATAAATAAAAAGAAACAGAAAAATCAAGAGGAA